CCTTTGTTTGAGTACGAGCATTATGAACAAAGCAGCCCGCTAGAGCATGCTAATTTTGTGAGCGCATTCAATAGGGTTATGTAACCCCAGATTTCGTTATGCAACTGCAAGTGGTGCTTCAGCGAAGCAAGGCTGAGTGTAAGCTGATTACCCTTAATAAGATCTTATTCCACGTTTACACTATGTACATAGATAGATTTCTCGGCTGTGGCTGTGTTGAAAGCATTGTTTTATGGAGGCGTCGAATAAAGCCCAGTGCTTGGATTTTGGAAATAGGGAGTGGACAAGTAAATAAATTTATGCCACACATACATAGGGCTAGGGGAATATTTATCATTGTTTCCATGGAAGAGTTTACTTTATTTTTAAACGTTAAACGCGGAAGACATTAACCCGCGCCCTGGTGGGGTCTGTTTATAACGCGACCTGGTGGGGGGGGGCTATTTTTTGCCCCCCCTCGTATCTCCGAAACTACTGGACGGATCCGCAAAATTCAAACGGCGTTCGAAAGGCCTGTCAAATTTGTCGAAGGAAACCAAATTTCATTGACCTCGGGGTCACCGATGACGTCACAGGTCAGGTCAAAGATGAAACGTTTCACCGTTCACGGGTCTTCTAGGGAATGCGCTATAACACCGAGGAAAACGCATTTTGTCGAGAATCAGCGATAGGGCGTCAGTTGCCTAGTAGATATGTTGCTATTAGAGGTCACTGACAATACCAGGTCAGGTCACAGGTCAGGTCACCAAGGGTCACAGGTCAGGTCACATGAGCCCAACTTTACAAAGGTTGTGTGATGCATGTTTTATGGCCAATTTTTCATTTCCAACTCAATGGTGCTGGTTACAAGACTATCAGGTACGGCTTAGGTCACTTTCTGGTGAAGTTCAGGTCAAGGTCAGATCAAGGTCAGGCCAAAAAAGGTCAAATTTTAAAGTTGATAGCTTTGCATAAAATGGGTATTGATTCGATGCAGCTCGTCACGGGGAGTCTAATGGTGGTCTTTGTTTTGCGCTACGGGGTCTAGAATTGCTAAAAATTGAGTTTGAAAATTTGACGTCATCAATTTTGAACAGTTTTTTCGCTATAACTTCGCCAAAAAAAGAGGTATCAATCTCAAATTTGGTATGTGGATGGAAGGCGGTAAGGACTATCACATATATTCCGGTTTTTGCGAAATTCAAAAAACTTTTTGGATTTTTCAATTATTACATCCAAAAAAAAATATTTTTTGATTTTTGGGGGTCAAAGTCCAAAAATTTCAAAAATCCGAGATAGCAGTTTTGTAGCCCGAACGATTCTACAGCTTTTATGTCTTTATCATTTTCCTGTATTTGCAAAGCTATAGGCCTGACAGCTCTTCCCGCGAAACCCTTTTTTGGGTCGAAAACAGCAGAACATGACGTCACTCTGACGTCATTTCCGGCCAACCTATCATAGCCTTTGGAAAAATTTTTGGTCACAATGTGTAAAATTGATGTCCGGGAGGGTACTAAAAGTTTGGTGACGATCGGCGCAGCGGTTCTGGAGATATATCGAAAAGTCTGGAGGGGGGGGGGGGCAAAAAATAGCCCCCCCCACCAGGTCGCGGGTTAACCCTCGCCCTGGCAGGGCATTTTTCATAACACGGCCTGGCAGGGGGGGGGGGGGGGGGTCGATGCGACCCCCCCCCCTCCATCGACCCCCCCCTCGCGATTGGCTCCTATGGCACCTAGAAACACCAAATTTGGTAGGTAGGTGGGCCCCCTGGAGTTCTCGCCCCTGTGCAAATTTGGTTGCTCTAGGTCAATATTTAGGGGGGTTTTGGCCTTTGGGGGGTATAAATGTAAAAATTTCGCTAAAAACAGGTCAAAAGTTTTTCGCTTATAACTTTTGATCTAATTAAGATAGAGCAAAAAGAAAAGCACCAGTGAACTCAGCACGTCAAGGCGCGTCGAATGATATACTTTTCAGCTTGCTTAAGTGTACTTAAAGTTTTTCTTAAATTTTAAGTAAACTTAAATTAATAAATTAAGTTCATGTTAACCAAATTGCATCATATCGCATATCATTCGATTCGGCTGATCACCAGGAACACAATGATACCATTTTTTAAGCTCTAGCGTCATTATGTGCCAAGTTATTGGCAAAAACGTCATTTGACCTCAGTTGACCTCATTTGACCTGACCCATGGATAAGTACACCAAACAAAGAAGCACCAAGTGACCTGCTGTTAAGTACCGTGGTTTCAAAGCACAAAAGTGATAGAACGAAGCGGATATCTCCAGTATTTTCCGAATTTAGTATTTTCCCATAGGCTTAACATTACGACGTAATGACCTCTAACTGACCTCAGGTCAGTGACCTCAAAAAAGCCGGACTATATGTTATACAACTCGGTGAACTTAGCACATCCTGAAAGTTTGAAGGAAATCAGTCGAAAACTGTGAGTTGGACAGGTGCAAAAAGAAAATTGAAATTTCACCATGACCTTGTACCGGTTTTTCTGACCTGGTGACCTGACCCAAGGTCACACGGACCTGAAATTTTCAGGTCATATGTAAAAAGCTTGCCCCATAGGCTGTGCCAAATTTGGCGGCGCTGCGCGCCGCCGTTTTTACGCTATCTTCGAAAAACCTTAGGGGGGGGGGTCGCATCGACCCCCCCCTGCCAGGGCGAGGGTTAATGCATCAGCATTTATATTCTCTCTATTAATATGCAATTTTGTTATGTATGCTGATCCCTAGCTCAGCAAGCTATGGAAAATGTGCGTACTGCGTAGTAATTAGCAAAGTGGCCAGAGTGAACGCCCTCACCTGGCCAATAACAAATGACAGAATCCTGAGCATCTGTTCTGTCACCCCCGACCTCGGATGTGCGTGACCTGGCAGACCTAATACTGTTCTATCTACAATACGATGATTCCACGGCACGACTACGCCGGACTACTCTTCTAGATCACCTGAAGTCGGTACGAAGTTCAGTCAGTCGACGACCTTGTGCGACTCAATCCCATTTGATTCGATTGTTCAGGTGATTTTGTAAGACCAGCCGATGCTCGGATATTGATCTGCACCTATGCAGCGAGGCACCACAGCGTCCCCTTCCAAAGAGCTCGTGCTGAGAACTGGGTAGCTCAGATCGGAGTGTTTTAGACAGCTTGATTGTGGAGTCAGCGTGTGTGCGTACACTGAACTAACAGCGTAAAGGTCGAATTCGCAACTTTAGATTTTAGAATGCTGTTTCCTCGTACCGATAGCCGCATTCGGTACGAATAGCTAATTATTTTTCTGGAGCAAATAATGCCTTACCATTAATATATTTTATATATGTATGTATGTTTTATAATCATGAGCGATCCACACATGGCGTGGCGATTACCGCTTAGTTGCAATCTGTACAGTTGTTCGGCCCAAGACAGTATAGTTCGGCCTTATAATTTTTTCCTCGTGGCGCAAACTGATCCTTGCATTTGTACTGGATGTATCCGAGTCTGATTCATTTTGCCGATGGGTACAGATAAGAAATTTATTCGTCATATTTTCGCTATGTAAAATAAGCACCACGCTGATCGTCCTTCTCTTTCGTTGCAGATCTAAGCGGAGCTCGGTCACCTCAGGAATCAGCAGGTCAGTGACGTTATCAATAAGTGACGCCATTGGTTCAATTAGCGGGAATTTTGGGGATTTTGGTGGTCACATCAGTTTCGTTTTTATCGACTCCGTCCAATCCTGCGGAAGGAGCTCCGGGCACATGCATAGTTTTTAGGGAACGTTTGAACGGAGCCTGCATATCTCGTTACTCATATGTAGCACCTAATTGTACCATGCATTTCAATATCCTACGCTATATCCAGATCGGTAATTTATGTGTACGGCTAATTACAGCATACTGTTATTTATGACACACCCGCTTGGTCACATAATTTGTCCAATGCTACGGCGGCGCTGCGACTGACTTGCCGACCGAGGCGACATCTATACCACTACTGCCTATTCCGTCTAGGGCTCCGCTAACCAGATGTCTCTGTCGTCAGCCCGGTGTACCGGACTCCCAGCTTCAACTCGTCCGGGCGCAGCTCTAACTGCGATGGCGAGGACATGTACTCGGATATCTCCATAGAAGATGACGTCAACGACCTCAACCAGAAGGTAGGGATCACACTGGCACACACACTTTGCTTTGTGGGGATAGATGAATGGCTAGATTGTAGGTAGGTAGGTAGCCCAGTAAAGGTGACCGTTGTCCTGATCGGAACGAGTGCCGTTTGACAGCGACAGCTCTGCGAGCTGCTCCTAGCTGCTTTGGCTCTATATATAACTACCGTCTTGTCGGCACCCTTGACACAGTGGACAAATGAAGGTTCAAACTTCAATACCACCGTTAGCAGGTGGCATCTGGATCTCATTTGTGACCTCCTCTTCCCCTTTTTCTCACTACCATCTGCCTGCCATCACTCGGGCTAAACCAAACACGTGTTCCGTCTCTAATTTCACTCTCCCTCCGTTCTCGAGATCTCGGCTCTCTGAGTCCGCCCCTCTCCCCGCCGCCGTCACATTCGGAGACTCATCACCAGCGTCATTAGTCATCACCATCAACATCACCCACATGGATGGTGCCGATCGGTCACTAACGTTACCAATGTTCAACTCAAACGTCACCAATGCTTACAACGTCACCAATGTCCATAGGCTTTCAGTGCCGACAAGTCACCAATGTCCGAAAAGTCACCAATGTCCAAAGCGTCACCAATGTTTACAAGCGTCACCAATGTTTACAAGCGTCACCAATGTCTACAAACGTCACCAATATCCAAATCGTCATCATATCACTAGCTCCACCTACACCATCACTACCATCACCAGCGTCACTATCGTCACCACCATCATCTGGCACCCTCATCACCACCTCACCATAGGCCCGCTGCATGAGCCGGACAGGCCTGCAGGGCCCTCTGGCGACTCGGAGTAAAAATAGCCGCAGGCGGCGGCGGCCGGCGGGAGCAGCGGCCTGGCCAGGCGGGACACCATGCAGTGGGCCGCGGCGCCGCGTGGGGCCGCCTGCGGTGTGTCTTGGATGGGTGCGGCTGTGTTGTGTGTGCGTGCGTGCGTGGGACGACGAGGAGAGCTTTGTAAAGTTCCGAGTGGTCAATGCATGGTGGGCTGTGAAGGAATCAGTGATTTTTTCAGGGGAAGTTGACCGCCATCTGTGTGGTCACAGCAGGTGTTGACATGCCCCCCCCCCCCCCGCCACCACCACAAAAAACTTGCTTCGCTTATCCTAAATGATATTCCTTTTGAATTCAAGAACGAGCCAGTTGAATCAGGCAGTTTTACCAAAAGACACACGCATTCCGTTCCTTGAGACCCGTGTTGCAGTGTAAGAAGGCGACATTCTTATTTAACCTCTTTATTTTCTTCGTGGCTGAAAAGTGAAGGTCTGAAGGCATGTTGCCCCAATGCCCTGTATGTTTGTGCATAAGAATTATTATAAATATGCAATGAATGAAAAGCTAGTGGCCCTATTAGATATAGCAGAGCTAGTCACGCTCACTCACCCATGGTGCAAGCATGCCTTACATTACAAAAAAAGCTCGGACTGTTCGTCAATTCGCTGATCCATCCCCTCACAACTCACTCGTCACATCTCACAGTCCACACCCACACTCCCCGCCCACGCCACTGACCCACATGACGTCACCGTGACGTCACTAAGGGGTGGTCCAGTGATCTAGACACCTCAGCATGTTGTCGGCTCAGCGCCGGCGGCAGTCGGCGGCTGTCCGAGCGGCCATTTCTCAGCGCGTCAGGCGCGCTGACGTTACCAGAGGTGGGGCGGTTGTTTGTTATTTCTACGGCGGCCCATCCCTGACTCAGAAGACGCGGGAATGTGGGGGAGGGGACGAATGTCGGCCTGTCGGTCTGTCGGTCTGTTGGTCTGTTGGTTTGGGCGCCTGTCGGTTTGTGGTGTTGTGGGTCTGTCGGTCTGTCGGTTTGTCCGTCTATTGGTCTGTATGTCTGTCGGTTTGCTGGTCTGTTCACTGCTGGTCAGTCGGTCTGTCCGTTGGTCTGTCCGTCTGTTGCTTGGTTGGTTCGCAGGGCTGTCTGTCTATTGGTTTGTCTGTAGGTCTGTCTGTCTGTCAGTCAATCGGTTTATACTTGTAGGCCTACCAGTTCATTGGTCTGTCGGGGTGTGGGTCTTTGTGTGTCTGTCTGTCGGCCTGTATGTCCATCTGTCGGCCTGTGGGTCAATGAATTTATATTAACATTAAATTAACCACTTACATACATTTTTGAAAACCATTATAGTTTTTACCCATTGGTGATAGGCAGGCTATTTAGGCAGGCAATTTCTCTACTGAAACTTGTGCTCATATGAAACACATTTCATATGACTTTTCTCGAGTTCTTGCTGTGAACAAATAACAATAAAATGGGCATTCTTCATACAGCGCCTCACTTCTTTGTCCAAGTTTCTCAGCCTGACGCCTAAATATTTTCTGTTGAGCACACCTCACCCCACACCCAACTCCCGGCGCCTGATTTCGGGATGCAGAGCCGTCTTCTCCGTATCTTTAATCCCAAACATTCTCTGTCGTCGGCTGGATCTGTTTAACGGATCCGGTAAACATACGGCTGGAGCTGGGCGGCGCCCAGTCCCCCCTATAGTGGGGCACTGGCAGCCAGTGAGACCGCGGGGGTGGGAGTGAGGCCCAGGGTCGACCCGGTCCAGGTGACGCCAAAGGGTGCGGCCGGGGTCGCTGGCAGCAACGGAGATCCCTCGGCAGGGGAATGCTTTCGATCGCTCTTCATACTGAGCAGAGTATTTTGTGATACAAAATGATGCGCATATTGACAGAAGCGTTACGCCAATTCGTTGATCAGTTTGTGTTGCTTATTTATCTCTATTGTTCTACAAAGAAGGCACATGCAAAATGTGTTATGACTTAAAAAGACACATCCACGTACCTAAATTTTCACCTCTAGACGCCATTGCTACATTCCGCTTTTTTCGTTGCGCTCCGTACTACAACTCTCATATATGTACTATGTCCGCTGCCGTCTGGAATTTGACCCTTGCCCCAGGCGTCCGCATGTTACCCGTTTCTCGGTATGCACTTTGCAGTGTGATCGGTTTTGACCTCAATGTGATATAAAGCCGGCCTCGATTCGGGCTCGATCTGATCCCTTCGCACACATCACCGAAAGATTCTACCGACGAAAATGTTATCTGACAGGCTTTGTGTGTGTGTCGGCGGCTTAAGTGCCTTGCCAGTCCGCTGATGACTGTGTTATGGTTGAGAACTGCAACGCTTCGGGGTATCTACTTGTAGTTGTTTTAGGTAGATTCTACTTTATATTTCAAGTAGTCTAAAGCTATTCAATCTCACGCGAAAATTTATGAGCGGTGAATGAAAATCCAATCCAACAGAAGTCTTTGTTCGTAAGCAATAACTCTGTCCCCTCTCGCTGTGGTATTGATATGCTCGATCATTTCTGACACTCCCCAGCCTGTTCGATAATCTCATCTGCCGCTCCCCCTTCAAACTCCCCGCTAGATTTCCCCGGGAGGTTTGTCTGGCAATGTTATACCGTGCGAGCTGTGCCTCAAATTTATTTGCTCATCTGCAAGGGGAGGCGCAGAGCAGGGCCCTGTCGACGGTTCCCGATCTCTGGTTACCTTCTTAGGCACCACTAACGACCTTGGTTGAACCTGCAAATAGGTATGACACAGAAACTAAAGCCGCATAGTTAGATGAGAAGGCAGGAATGCGGGAAAAACTTTAATTAACCCTCGCCGGCCGAGGGGGGGGGCGGGTGCCGCCCCCCCCCCCATAGGATTTTTTTCGCGATAGCTCCGAACACGCTGGCGATAGAGAGCTGAAACTTGGCATACCCGACCTTTGATCCAAGCCGCATCTTTTGACACCAACCGCATTTTTGGGTCAGGTCAGGTCACTGACCTATGACGTCATAAGTGAACCTCTGCACGGTCTCCAGATGTCGCAACTTCGCAACGCCCTCACTGCCAGAGGAGATGTCACAGGGAAATGAAACTTGCAGGATCTAATATCCATTATGAGTCTCACAACTTGTATATCTCGGATTTTTCCTAAAGGTCATATGAGGTCAGGTCATTTTCGTGACCTCACCATTATAAGTCAATGGGGAAAAATGAAAACTGCTATTCTGGCGCCGGGAACGATCTCCAACTATCTCAAGCACACATAATCGTGATTTTATGCACTCCTTGCAAGGTTAGATGCGTCACTTTTGCAATGTTGACCTTGCGTGACGTCATTTATGACGTCATCAAGGTCACATTAGTTTTTCGTCAATAACTCCTGATCAAATTGAGCAAGCGAGTCGGGAAAGCCACCAATGGACTCAGGAAGACCTGCCGAATCGAATGATATGCGACATGACCTCTTTCGACCAACTTCGTGACCTGGGGGTGCTGACCTGACCTTGACCTGAGGTCAACACCCCAAGTTGACCTGACCCGGACAAAAAGTATATCATTCGACGCGCCTGAGCGAGGCGAACACGATGCTGCCAAAATCGCGGCTCTGCGGCCGTTTTTAGCGGAGTTATTCACCAAAAACTGAACCGTACCTTGGGGCACTTGACCTGACCTCAGAGGTCACCGGTTGACCTAGGACCTTAAAATCGGGTACCAATCTCTGCGTCTCGTAACGGCGCACACGCTCGTTTTTTCCGCGACGCGCTAGCTCCACCAGGGGCGAAACGGCGAGGGGGGGTCGTACCCGCCCCCCCTCGGCCGGCGCGTATGTAGAAAACCAATAGGTCCGGCGAGGGTTAACCCTCGCCGGACCTATTGGTTTTCTACATACGCGCCGGCCGAGGGGGGGGGGGGGGGCGGGTACGACCCCCCCCCTCGCCGTTTCGCCCCTGGTGGAGCTAGCGCGTCGCGGAAAAAACGAGCGTGTGCGCCGTTACGAGACGCAGAGATTGGTACCCGATTTTAAGGTCCTAGGTCAACCGGTGACCTCTGAGGTCAGGTCAAGTGCCCCAGGGTACGGTTCAGTTTTTGGTGAATAACTTCGCAAAAAACGGCCGCAGAGCGCCGATTTTGGCAGGATCGTGTTTGCCTCGCTCAGGCGCGTCGAATGATATACTTTTTGTCCGGGTCAGGTCAACTTGGGGTGTTGACCTCAGGTCAAGGTCAGGTCAGCACCCCCAGGTCACGAAGTTGGCCGAAAGAGGTCATGTCGCATATCATTCGATTCGGCAGGCCTTCCTGAGTCCATTGGTGCCTTTCCCGACTCGCTAGCTCAATTTGATCAAGAGTTATTGACGAAAAACTAATTTGACCTTGATGACGTCATAAATGACGTCACGCAAGGTCAACATTGCAAAAGTGACGCATCTAACCTTGCAAAGAGTGCATCAAATCACGATTCTGTGTGCTTGAGATAGTTGGAGATCGTTCCCGGCGCCAGAATAGCAGTTTTCATTTTTCCCCATTGACTTATAATGGTGAGGTCACGAAAATGACCTGACCTCATATGACCTTTAGGAAAAATCCGAGATATACAATTTGTGGGACTCATAATGGATACTAGATCCTGCAAGTTTCATTTCCCTGTGACATCTCCTCTGGCAGTGAGGGCGTTGCGAAGTTGCGACATCTGAAGACCGTGCAGAGGTTCACTTATGACGTCATAGGTCAGTGACCTGACCTGACCCAAAAATGCGGTTGGTGTCAAAAGATCCGGCTTGGATCAAAGGTCAGGTATGCCAAGTTTCAGCTCTCTATCGCCAGCGTGTTCGGAGCTATCGCGAAAAAACCCTATGGGGGGGGGGGGGGCGGCACCCGCCCCCCCCCCCCTCGGCCGGCGAGGGTTAAGGATGACCATTTCTCGGCAACTATTAACTCGGACTTCAACTTTCAATTATAATATAATTACAAGATATCACTCATTCAAGACAAACTCACCATTGATTCCGATACGTCAGACGATGGATCACAGCGTTCATCTGTGTCTATGCAGCTGAAACATTTATCAAATTATGGCCTTGCTCAAATTGGTTAGATGTACCCAATGATCTCAGTCACTGCCGTACAATTGAATGCAGTTTGTAACAAAAAGCACGTGATGTTATTACGAATGTAGCCCAGGCTTATCCCCCGCTCCTGTGTAAGCACAAACCTCGAGCAAAAAAGAACTTATTCAATGCGTGTCGTCTTTTAGCGAACTGCACTGTTTAACAAAATAAGAAATCTTCAGTAGACATGCGATTGGCTGGATAGCTAGGGTGTTTCACAATAAATGTTACTTTTGAATAGCTTAAATGAAGATCTTACTTGTTCGTAAGCGCGTAAATTTTATATGCAGTTTGCTGCAAATTTGTTGCGGTTTTTAGTCCTTATATTTTTTTTTTACAAACCGTCAACGGTTCCATCTGTATGAACGTGCAATGCCAACACCGTCAAAACGGGTCAATTCGCCGTGTACAGATGATGAGGCGGTATGGGTGGTCATGCATTACGGCGCTTTGCGGAGTCTGACCGCAGTGCGACGGAGTTTCGGTAGCCATTTTAAAAGGAGGAAGGATATTCCGTCAAAAATGTTTTTCAAACGGGTGGTAGAAAGGTTCCAGAAGACTGGAAACACGAGACCAGCCCCGCCTCCTGGCCGGACGGCGATCCCAGAAAATCTGCTTGAAAAGGTCAGACGGAAGGGTGGCATACTGGAGAACCCGTGAGGGGTGCTGAACTGAAAGTTATATGTTCATCAGTCCTACTGTTCTGCTGTCTCATGTGGTAATACTCATGAGCCATATGTAATACATGTCACTGAAACATCGTCGTTTGAAAAGCAACATTCATTGTGAAGGACCCTGAAGCTTAACAGAATTGACCCGTTTTGATGGTGTGGACATGTACGTACATAAAGAATGCAGTTGATGATTCGTCATAGTCTTTGTAAGGATAAAAAACCCGAAAGAATTTGCAACAAAATGAATATAGAATTTATGGGCATACGAATAGTTGAGGTCATTTTAAAAGCTTACCAAAACTAACGTTTATTGTGAAACACCCTGTATAATTACCGTTGAGCTGTAGATACATATTTGGCAAAGCGCCCTCTGTAAACATTTCATAAACTCCAAATGAAGTCAAACCGCTCAGTCGCTGACAGTCGAGTGATAGGCTATCTCAGCTGCGAACATTCTGGAAATCTGCGCCAGCTTTTCGTGCCGCGCAGCGCTTGCCAAAAAATTGGCACATTTCTCCCGTAATCCTGCCTCAGTGCCTCAGCCATCTGTTGGCAACCTTTCACCAGTGCTCTAATAGAGCTCCTACCTTATTACCCTGTATCAGTTCTACCCTTACCTGATGACCACATTTTCGAATTGGACCTGGCCACGTCACCGGAAGGGGGAACTAAGCGGGAACTCCGCCGTTTCCTTTTGCTGGCACTTGGCAGCGTGCCGCGTCGAGTTGGCTCCCCTCCTGCTGTGACCTCACACGATCGTCGGCTAAATATTAGACCGAGGGCGGGCCACGGCGCGGGTCGGGTGGGGTCTGTTGGTTGGCCTCAGCTAGGAACTGCCGGTTTATCGCAGGCTCGTCAGGCGCTGGCGCTTCTTCCACGGCAGGCTGAAGAGGCAGCGGTGAAGACGGTGGTGATGTGGTGAAGCTATTGAAGGACGAGATACCGAGCTGAACCAGCGATAGTGGTGGGATTCTGCGTGGTATCGACTCGATGGAGAGTGGAGACTAGAGAGACCGATCGGTACTTCATGAACAAGTGGCTCATCTGTCTTCTTCGCCCACGTGCCATTGAACAGTCGTCAAGAAATTTCATCAATCATCAGTCGCCAGCTAATCATCAACCATCACTCATTAGTCGCCAGCTGGTATAATCAAGCACCAGTCGCCTCCCAGATCACTCAACCACCAGCGCCGGCCTTCAGGCCACATTTTGCAGAAGCGCAGACCTCCGGCACAGCGGCTCCATCCGCCATCTCTCGCGCCTTCCGCGGGTGGCCAACTGGCCAAAAGTGACTCACTCGTCGCTGGCGTCGCCCTCGCGGCGGCTGTCGGCAGCGCCAGCGCCGCCGGGCACGTGGCTGAGACGTCGACAGTGCGCGCCGCACAGGGACGGGGCGCGGAGCGAGCCGAGAGGGGCGTGTAGCCAGTCGGGAGAGTCTGATCTCTGGCGCTTGGGTGGTGAGCAGACGGTCGCTGAGCGGTGGTGAGGTGAAGGAGTTATCAGCAGATGTGCTGAGAGGCTGAGTTGTGATAAGTGCGGTGAGATACCGCTGAATTGTGAGCTGTCGAAGTGAGCAACTGGAGAAAAGCTGTTGAGGTCTGCGCAGTGAAGTCTGAATGCTGGAAGCCTGATCGAAGACAGTAATCTAGGCCAGGCTTATCTCAGCCAGAGTTTTGACCTGGAATATCAGAGTGGAATCTCAATCTAGGACGTCACCTAGCCACCAAGTTCACCAAGAGTCAATCACTTGACCGAGCCAGCAGCTCTCTAGGATGGCCCGCTCATGCAGCTCGGTCGACCACCCTGACCTGGACTCGGGTCTGGAGGATGACCTGGTCTCCTCCGTGGGGGACGTCCGCTCCGTCTCTGACCTCGAGCTGGACATGGCGCCGGTGACTCGGGCCCGACGATCGCCTCCGGTGTCACCTCATCTCAAGTCCTTCCTGCGCGCGATGAGGACGCCGAAGCTGTGCCGGACTGCGGAGGGGGGATATGAGCTCGCTGAGGGTGGTGAAGGGAAGGCCGAAGAGCCGGATCTCGAGTGGGAGTGGTGGGAGGGGCAGTGCAGCTTCCTGGGAGCGGGAGTGGGCGAGGGAGACGTCTTCTCGTGGCACCTGGATACGATGGAGAAGGTGAGTCTCCGCCTCTGAGCGACGGTATGTTAGGCGCCAATTACTTCATCATCCAGTGAATGAAAAAGGAAAGACTTTCGACTTAACTCGAAAATGAAAAATAGCAATGCAATTAATATGCATGCAATATTTTGAACTTGAGAAGGCTGTTGTAGCAGAAGCATCATTTTATGCTCATTTCTCACACACAGTAGTCGGTCATGGTATGTGAACATCATGGGGGGTTTCCGTTTGGCCTATAGCTCAATAGGCAGCGTCGGATGGCTGAGAGACATGCAAGTGTTAGACCACGCATTTGGTATTAGTGGTCAACTAGCCAAAATACTGCACAACCAATGTTGCACTTACATCAGACATAATCGCAGCGCCAAACAGATAAATCCTGCTAACACCAGTGCATTTTCTTATCGGTGGTTACTTGTCCAGGGTTTGACACCGGTTCGCTAGCTTCAAGGTTCGCATGCACTGCTGGACTATCTGTCTGCCGCTAACTCAGTCTCGTAGAACGGGCGGTCTGCCTGGTTCTTTGGAGTGATGGTCGCTCCCCCGCGTCCCCGAATAACAACTCTGCACATGGCAATGCTGCAGAGCGGCTGCCCGGGTGACGTGACCTGCTTCCAACTGAAGGGTGATGTCACTGACCTGTGATGTCGCGGTGCAGGGGTTTGTTTTATCTAATATATTGGCTGGTTAGCGAGAGCTGAGCCAAATCTCCTGATTTGTCCACTCTTATCCATATATAGTTTGTAATAACTTTTCGGCGCTATTGCTGTCTCTCACATTATCAAATGCAATTTCTGCCTTTGCTTATCGGTATGATGGGCTTTGTTATGTTCAAGCGATGACGGAAGTCGGCAGCTCAAGCGGCTATTGACAATTCGAGCCATCGTTTGCCGAAAACCTTGGGGGTAGGCTATCCCGTAGGGCAGCGGGGCTGTCCGGTGTAGTCTACCCACGCAGGTAAAACTGCTTGAATCATAGCTTTCGCCGTGTTCTTGATCCATTTGCTGCAAATGTTCCGAAATTGCGATGTTGAAAAGGAAAATGGTTGACATTATGTGAGCCAACAACAGCAAAACAACAACAGCAACAAACACAATCACAACCTACGCCAGAACAGAAAATGCAACATGCCAAAATATGGGGAACATGCTTACATTTTAACCCTATTAGTGGCAGGGGGGGGGGGGTGTTTTTATCCACCCCTCAGGTTTTTCGGGAATATCTCCGAAACCGCTGAAGCTACGATGCTGAAATTTTCTGACTTTTCCTAAAACTAAATTGGGCACATTCCCTGAAAATTTCAAGTTCATAACTTTACCAGGGGCGGCTCCAGAGCACTGGGAATTGGGGGTCCTATTCGTGAAGCGAGTCATTTGGGCGAAGATCACGATGCTGCACCAGTTTTACGAACAGTGAATGAAAGGTATCATGTGATTACATATACAAAGTTATTGTGCATCCTCTTTTGACACGTTTTTGCTCTAATAGGCGGATCCAGGCGTCCAAAAAGGGGGGGTATTTTTTACCTCCCAACATAGGTGCCCTGACACCGCCTATGCATGACCAATACAATTTTAGTCGTTCTCTCATAAGAAAATTGTAACATAACAAGACCATTGCCACCCTTTTTAGAAACAGTACCAACAAAAACCTTATTTACTATACTTTTTGTGTACCCCCAATCTCAATGATCTGTATCCGCCTATGATTTTTGAAAATGCATATTTTTAGGATCCATGTGAATTCCTGGTTCATTCTCTATCGATCGGCAAAAGTTGCGTTAAGATTGGTTCAGAAACCTGGCCGTGATAAACAGTCTAAAATGTATCTGCAATTTGCCCTTTTTTACCCCCCTCTACCCCCCTATTGACATTTTCTAATTTTATTTTTTTTTTAGAAATGTAGATCTCGTTGAGTGAAATCGAATGCCGTTTAAATTTTGAAAATCGGCCCGTTAGATCTCGAGATATCAAGGGGGGGTCGTAAACAGCCCCCCCCCCCTGCCACTAATATGGGGTAGCCAGGAGCCTGCCACTAATAGGGTTAACCCTCGCCCATGTAGGGGGGGGGTTGGTGCAACCCCCCCCCTGAGGTTTTTCGGAAATAGTGCAAAAACGGCGGCGCGCAGCGCCGCCAAATTTTGGGTACCTTATGGGGCAAACCTTGCGCATCTTTTGATAAAAAAAATTTGACCGGGTCATGTCAGGTCACGGAGTTATGACGTCACAAAGGGAACAGCCTCCGGCCGGATTTTCACAAACTGAGTGCCAACGCCCGAGGTTTCCTGCCGGTGGTACGGACATCGGTAGATGGATCGTGATGAAACTTCCCATGCATGTTGGGGCAAGTATTGGCTATCATATGGTATAAGAAACTTGACCGGGTCAGGTCAGGTCACGGAGCTATGACGTCACAAGAGGAACAGCGTCCGGTACTATTTTTGAAAAGCTCCCGAACCACTATTTTGCTAATTCTTGTCACCTCAATGGGAATATGCAGCAATATTAGCTTCTATAGGGAGCAAATGGACATCCCAAATCCAAAAATACAATCAGATTTCAAAAATTTAAATTTTGATTTTTCGAATTTCTGCCGCCGACTGTGACCTTGCCGACTTCCGGCGCTCCCAACGCGCCATTTTTAGAGCTAGGGAAACGAAATACATACCAAACGATAGAGAATTGATCAAGGAACACGATAGTGAAGGTTTCAAGTCGATATCTCCCACCGTTTTGCCGCAATCGCCGCGGAAAAGTTGAAAAAGTCTATTTTTCCGAAAATTTGACCTTTGACCGGTCAAAAGTAGGTCAAATGTTGACCTAGGACCAAAAAATATACCACCAATCGCGAGATCTCGGCGAGAGCAATCCGTTGGTCTTTTGCGCTAAGCTCTACGACGCTCCGTTTTCAAACGCCAAGGGGGGGGGGGTCGCACCAACCCCCCCCCCTGCATGGGCGAAGGTGGCAGATCGCCGTTTACGGGCGAGGGTTAAGCTACTCTTCTGACCGTTTGGGATGACGCCTCTGCATGTCTAATGTTTATACGTTCTATCTCACAGGCTGTTTGAAGCTGTCTCATCTGACAGGACAGCTGTTCGTTCATCTGTCACACACTGACCGCTGCGTAACGCTGAACACACGTGGGCCACGTTCTCGGGTAGCACTGAGCGTGTGAAACACGTGATGAAAACCAAAGGCACGTGGGACAGACAGGTGGTGTAATGTAATCCTCATATGATGCCTTGCACTGGTTAGCTTTACCTACGAGGATGTTTTCTATCGCGAAACACAGCGAATTCGAAACACTCGAAAGCTCAATACACGGTATGATTTATTTTTATAATATATCATAATGTTTATGATTCATTCATAAAAACGACGACCTGGTTCGTTTAAATCGACTTATAAGCCTTCTTTGTTATTAAACGTGTCTCAAGGGCTCTGAGTCGCACTTGATTGACTCGTTGGTACTCGGAGTTGTCTTATACCGTGGCCACAAACAACGTCTGGTGCTGAATGCTCCGAGAATAACCTCGGAGTCATGACAATAGAATCGGAGCTCACAATCAAAGCTATTTTTTAAGGAAACGAATGTTTAGTTGTGTTTAGTTTGGCTTATTTGAAGACGATAAACTGACTTGCACAGCCATTTACACGAATAAAATCGTCAAATACTGATCTCTATGGCTATTAGCTTGCTTCTGTTTAGGTATACTTTCTTGGAGTATGTCTATGAATCGAACTACAGGCTTGTTAGATTAGGAAATGATATAACTTTATTTCCCTTGGGCGTAGCATGTGATCGTTCTATTTCGACTGTTTTGGTATAAGTAACTGTCTTTATAGGTAATCCAAGCAGCCTGACCTTCCCCCATTATTTGTGTACGCCAGCTGACCTGACCTGAGCTGACCTCGGTCCTCAGGTACACGTGCTGGAGCGACAAGTCACCGTACTGGCGGAAAACCAGAACAATAACGATGACCGCTACACGCGCAGCAAAGAGGAGAACGCCGCTCTGCAGGCGCGCCTCATCATGCTCGAGGAGCAGGTCAGTTGTATGGGCTCAAACGCCTCCACAACTTGAGGAATGAGTTGAAACAATTTTACAATTATGAGGTGGCTTGGCCCGGTTTGCTATTTGTTTTTGATACACGATTGCTTGTACACGTGTTATTACAACAACAACAACAATAACATCGTGAAGCCTTATCTGGTCGCACTCGAAACGCAATATATAAGCTGTGAAATGTTTTTTTTGTAATAGATTTGTGAGCAATGACACACTCTTTCATCTTATTCTTCGTGAGCTCTGACTCTCGTTTTCAAGTCTCTGGGTTTGATTCTCTTGAAGTGTTTTGACTGCGCTAGATTCGAATCGCTGTTTTCAGATGTGTGGTCAAACTACGTGACTGAGTCTCTCTGTTTCAACTCCGTGGTGACTCCGTGACTTTTTGTTTCAGCTCCGTGATCAAACTCCGTGGCTTTGTTTCAGCTCGGTGATCAAACTCCGTGGCTTTGTTTCAGCTCCGTGATGTAACTCGGTGACTCTGTTTCAGCTCCGTGGTGACTCCGTGACTCTGTTTCAGCTCCGTGAGGTGGAGCTGCGGTCGGCGGAGCAGCTGGATGCGGAGAAAAGGAGACACAAGGAGCTAATCCAGCGCCTGGAGCGGGAGAAGGCGCTGGAGCTGGAGAACCAAAGCATCAGGTGAGACCTCACCCGGTACTGAGCCAGGTGAGTCAGCACCGGGCGTCAGGGTTCTACACAGGATGCGAATCACCCGGTATCACAACATTAAATCGGTCGAAACTTACTCCAGTCTCCACTCACAATTCGGAGCTATCCTCGATTCTTTCGCCTCTCCCAACTCCGATCCATGTTTTCCATCCTCAAGACAGACAAATCCTTCTCCTCCACCCCTCTTCCCCTGCTCCGGGCTGGACGGGCAATTTTTCCCATGCGGGATTGCCTGTAAGAGCATGCCCGTAGCCGGGTGCGGTGAGTGCTTGGGGGGGAGGGGGGGGACTGGTCGGCCTGTCCTCTTGACGGGCTCAGCCCCGGCGACTCACCAGGGTGCTCGCCCAGACCAGTGTCTCCCCCTAATTCCGATCATCCTTCCGGCCCTGATATGGACTCGTCAGACCGTAAGGGCCTAGCCCAACAAAACAAAGACAATAACCTCTCCCACAAACTATAACCTATATCACTTCGTTTTTCCTATCACCCTGGAAAAGTGAACTTTGTCCTTACCTCCCTCCCATAAGAGACCACAGACTGTGAGTAGTCCCTCTAAATCCCCTCTTTCCTCGCAGACTTCAGAGTCAGTCTGTAACTGTATCACTATCTCCTCCCTCCCTCTTTCTCTCTCTCAGACTGCAGAGCCTGGAGAAGGAGGTCCGGTTCGCGGAGACAGAGGCGGCTCGCGCTCGCCAGCAGCTCGAGTCGGTGTGCGCAGAACGTGCCTCCCAGGAGGAGCGGCTGGCTCAGCTGACTGCCAGCCTGGAGACGGCGCGGCAGGAGAGCAGGAGCGCCGTGGAGCTGGAGCGGCGCGGCCGCGAGCAGCTGGAGCAGGAGCGGGCCGCTCAGTCTCAGGTACCTGGGGACGGATCCATATCAAAGCGTACAAAATTGTAGGATTCAATAGTTGAAACGTACAAAATTGCAGCGAACAGCTTCCGTAGCCCACACAGAAGGAGGCGAGGGCAGATACCCGGTGGAACGGCAGAGCAGGCGAGTTGTAATAACGTGTTGGTAGGGTTGTGTCAGACAACACAGCATAGCATATAATGTCATGGCATGGCATCCTCCAAGACCGCCAGTGAAGGTCTGACCTTCCACCGTCTGTACCCTGTAGCGTGACATCAGGCCTTTATACCGTCACTTCCGAAAATAATAATATCTGACCTGTGATCTGTAACCTGTGACAACTGACCTCTGTTCCATGACCTCTGACGTGCGCCCCCTGACCCTGTCAGATGATGTCTGAGCTGTCCAGTGAGCTGGCGGACACGCGCCAGCAGGCCAGTCTGCGTCTGAAGACCGAGTCGGACGAGGCAGGTCTGATGAGGCTGAGGCAGACGGAGCTGGAGGCAGAGCTGAGGCAGCTCCGACAGCAGAACAGAGGTCGGTGGAATGGAACTCTGCCTCAAGGGGACGCTGGCCACACTGCTGAATGCAGTACTCTCAAAATCTATTCACACATATCTCGATGTAACTCGACAGTCGACACACTACCCTCATGAAATATCAAGGACGGCTATCTATCGACTAACCATCATTGCAAAAGTCTGGCCCAGAGGCCTGCATAATCTTCCATAATTTTAATGAACATTTCATCTAAATTTAGCATATTTCAAATTGTTATACTTTCTTGCTCCCCTTCATAGCCCTCAGAAGGACATTCCCCATTAATTACTATAGTTCGTTTTTTCTAAGTTCGACCCTCACTGTAAACATCTTTCTGAACATAGCACGAGAATTGCTAGCTGAATTACTTAGAAAACTGGTTAGCGCACATTGTACTGCAGAAATTAATAATATTTTCCCAATAAGTTTTAAACACCGATGATATTCCGTTTTGTTAAACGCCGTGCGATCTATTGATCAGTTCAGTTATAATTTCTGACAAAATGTCTATCCCTGTGGGGTTGTATATAAAGGCAAATACGAGCTAGGAGTCTGGGAAATAAGAGCCAGGAAGAAATATTTTTGAGTAAAATTAATTGTCTGTGAAATCAATGTGCGCCAGCCAGTTTTCTAAGTAATTCAGCTAGCAATTCTCGTGCTGTGTTCAAAGAGATGATTACAGTGAGGGTCGAACTTAAGAAAAACGGACTATAGTCGATATCAACAGGAACACCGGACAAGCTCCACGATAAGAAAAGTCGGTAGATGAAAGGGGATGTACCCGGTCGCCCCGTCTCTAACCACCCTTCCTTTCCTTTGCAGAGCTGCAGGAGAGTCACGACGAGCTGCAGGCGCAGCTGCTATCCAGTGGACTCCAGGAAGGACGACAGCTGCTGGAGTCGGGACCCAAGAGTCTGGCGCTGGAGCTGGAGGACCTCTCAGGCGAACAGGTGCGATAACGGCACGGCACGGGACGGAGACGGGAAGGGACGGGACGGAGAGGGGACGGGAGACGGGGCGGAGACGAGACACGGGACGGAGGCGGGACGGGACGGGACGGGACACGGGTCGGAGACGGGACGGAGACGGGACGGGACGGGACGGGAGACGGGACGGGACGGGACGGGAGACGGGACGGGACGGGAGACGGGACGGAGACGGAGACGGAGACGGGAGACGGGAAGGAGACGGAACGGGACACGGGACGGGACACGGAAAGGAGACGGAGACGGAGACGGAGACGGAGACGGAGACGGAGACGGAGACGGGAAGGAAACGGAGACGGAGACGGAGACGGGAGACGGGAAGGAGACGGAACTGGACGGAGACGGGAAGGAGACGGGACGGGACACGGGACACGGGACGGAGACGGGACGGGACGGGACGGGGCGATAAGAGAAGGGACAGGATAGTTGGAAAACTGTCAGTGGGATAGAAAACTGATTCGGGAAAGTATTCTATAGTGAAGATGCGAATCATGGGAGAGTATTTGTCGTGATTGTTGTCATGGTGAAGTATTACTCACTGTAATGTGTTAGTTTTTATTTGCGTTGAAAATTTTAGTTGCTTCTATTTTCCGTACCCCACAACGTTTTGCGTATAGACACAGATACAACGATTGCTGAACGACACCAGCACACACGACATGCTAAAACGAGATATTATGTCCTTATGCAAAGTACTGGCACGCGCTTTGATTACATTCCATTCTGCAGCTAAATCTAAATTACTATTTGTGGTGACGTAGTTTCTGTCTATTACGAAGGTCGCGACATGGTGCTACGTAGCGCGGGTTACAGGTCACACCGTTGCACCTACCGCGCTGAAGTTTGCGCAACTCATAGAACAAGGATGGACAACGTGCCTTTGATGGGTCTCAGCTCGATCGGATCGATAGCGAGCGCGTGGCGCGTGCCCAAAAAGTGCAAATTCGCGTCATAGACTTTACATGTATTAATCGGCTGGCAAAAAAAAAAACGGGCGAAAACAGCCAAATTTGCCCGACACGGGTCCGGTCCCGGTGCAATATCTCGGTAACCGTGGGCCCGACCGGTACGGGGAAAACAGCATCGTGTAGAGAATCGAACGGGCTATCGAATGGTGTGCGGTGCAGGGGTTGGCACGCGCCACGTGCACCGGGGAGGACACTTTCTTTTGAAAAATGGACGTTTTGGACGGATTTTGGAATTTATATTAATTTCAGGTGATCGTCAGACGGAATGAGTTGAAACAGCGCCTATTAGCAATAAAAATGTACCGTCTCTCATGGAAAAATTGTGAAAAGCTAATTGATCAAAAACAATGTGGAAAAAATCGCTGAATTAAATGGTATTTGTCCAAAATGTGCCACTAAATAATTACACGGATTTTGCTGCTTAACTTGATACGTTTGACAATTGAAAATGCTATTATTGGAAAGAGCATTCAATTCTCTCCAAGATCCAATCATCACGTTTGCATGACAAGCAACAGTATTCTTAAAAATATAAATGTTTCAAACTTCTGCAAAACGATTTTTAGCGAAAATTATCTACGCCTTTAATTTGTCATAAAACTACGCGCCTAAATTATAAAGCACATTTGACAGATTCTGAAGTGGAAAGCATGCTTATCAGACACGGGCACCTCGATGCGATGGATATTTTTTTCCAAACCAAATCGTTTAGCCGTCAAAAGGCAATCGACCGAAATGGATGGATAACCCAACCGACACAAGAACAACCAAACACCCGCCGATCGAAAATACCCCTTTTCGCGTTGCGGAGCACGCGGGTCACCCTAGTAAATAAAAGCTAAAATGACATTTACTGAGGGCACCCGAACATTAAATAAATAAAAACATCAGGTCTTCTGCCGGTTCGGCTTACATGATGTGTTTACATTTGCATCGATCACATATTATCTAACAAATGCGCCTTTCTTGGCGTATTGGGCGTATTGGCTCTGCCTATAAACTGACTTGCAGCTTGTATCTCTTAGTTAGCATTTCCCTACTTCTGTGACAATAAATAATGGCTACATTTCTTTTAAGGTGGATGCTGGTGATGCGTTAGTTAAGGTGAGAGGATCTAATCGATTACAATGTGTAAAAAGCTAATTACCACTAATGTACGCTACGAATGACTACTAACATTGACTCGTTCTAGATATTGCATTTCTTCCTTGCACTTTTTATTGCTGAAAACGTACAGGATGTGCTTGGAACGTTGCCCGCATTTTTTCATTATATATCCGGCTGATAATGGCATTACGCAAAATCTAATGGTCATGATAACATGCCTTAAAATGAATTTTAGCTTTTGTTTGTAATCCTTTGCACGCTTTGAAAACACATGCCTACGTGCAACAATGATAAACGCATGGCTTTACGTCTAACAATCCGCACTTACATCAAGGAGCTCATGAAATTGGACAGCAATAAGCGTAGTAACAAGGACATTGATAACGGCAACATGCACGAATACAATGCACATACACGGTTACAGGCTATGTATCACTGATATATAACAGAAATCCCTACGTATATAAGACGCTTCACTGATGCATTTCACTGGTATCTCATTCTCTGTTGAGTAAAAGAAAGATGCTAGTTACTTTTACCCATCATTTATCAGCTTGGACTTGGCTCTTTTGTTACTAACTTAGGCTGCTTATTTTTTCTCAATAATTGCTTGTGTCTTTATTTTTTACGCATTCAGTTTGTATGTGCCTCCTAAAAGTTCCATTAATTATGCATTGTTAGAGGAAAGCCCACGTTTCAGCCTTTGAGCGTGTCGGTATTTGATGAATGTTCTTGTGCAATCGAGATGAAGTAGTAATTTCAAGACAGGCACTTCGCTGCATTTCATCTCAAAGTCAGCATAATGATATTCGGCAGGGGAATGCCGTGAAGGCATGCATAAGTTGTGTTCTAATTGGCCGGCAATATCTTGGTCCTTCATGCCGCTGCATTGTGAATCAGCGTCGTTATATTTCCCTCATTAGCCTACTTCATCCAGTCTAATTTCATATAACTTCCGTTGGCATTTGTGTTACTGTTCTAATTTCAGGCGACTTTAAATTGGCAATGGGTGGGTACATTTCAGATGGAGACGTTTGGCTTGCTGAACCTGTGACTATACGTACAAACGGTCTCATTGGACCATTCTGGCCTTCCCTCCTCTCCTTTCCCCCGGGATGGAATTTCTGATTTGCGTCCCTCTTTTCGCCAGCTGAAGAAGTCCCTTCTGGAGCAGCAAGAGGTCAACAAGCAGCTGCGAGCCTACATCGACGGCATCCTGCTCAACATCGTCGAAAACCACCCACAGCTGCTGGAAGTCAAGCAGCACCCCTGAGCGAGCCTGTGAACGTTTGGACGCGCTGTGAACATGTGTCGAACTGAACTGCCGCTCAGACAGTCCGGGCGAACTGCTGCGCGGACAATCAGCTGTCTCTGAACTGCTGCGCGAATAATCAGCTGTTTCTTAACTGAAAAGTCAGCTACGCCGCTGAACTGATGACAAAAAGTTCAGAAAAGAGAAAAGACTGAGTAGTAAGTGGTGATACCGGTCAGTTCGACCGTGTGAGATGATGCTATACCAAATATGTGGTGATATAACAGACACATATGACCCAGGAGTTAACCCGCGCCCTGCGGGGGGGGGGGTGTTTGAACACCCCCCCTTGTGGTTTTTCGCAAATATCTCAAAAACGGCGGCGTCCGCGCCGCCGTTTTTGGTACACCTTATCATACATCAATTCTACACATGTTGTGAAAATTTCAGACCAAGGTCATTCAAGGTCAGGTCACCAGGTCACTTGAAGTGACCTCGCCTCATAAAAAGTTTCAATGTCTGTCATAGCTACACCGAGTGACCGATCGCTTTGAAACTTTCAGCGATTGCTAAGAGCAATAGCATGTACAACATGTATATCTCAGAATTTTGATATCGATGACCTAAGGTCAGGTCAATTTTGCGACCTCCCCATTATAAGTCAATGGGAGAAAATTGAAATGCGCCTCTTTTAAACAAAAGACATTATAAACACTCCCAAACACCGAATTACAAGTGGTTTAGACACACTGAACATGAAATTGGTGTCCGTGACCCTTGTTTATGCCCTGAGGTCATCTTAGGTCACGAATGGTATCTAACAGTTTTTTTGCAAATAACTTTTGATAGAGGCATGCTAGAGCGATAAAAACGCCTTAGATGTGTTCAGCTCGACGATACGGATCGACTGATATGCAACATGACCCTTTCCGGTCAGGTCATGACCTTGACCTGAGGTCAAATTTTCAAGTTGACCTTTCAAGGTCAACTTACAGTTCATTCGATGCGTCTTGACGAGAGGAACACAATGCCGGTAAAAGTAAGCTCGTACAAGGCTTGGGTCAAAAGTTATTGCAGAAAAACTGTTTCCGAAAAAATCGGCTATTTTTGCAGTTTTTGCTCCCTGCAGGCAAAACCGTAGACGTTAGGTCAAATCTGAGAGGATTACCCAGAAAGGGCTTTAATAGGGCTATCGAATGCGCTTTTCCGCGGCGCTGTAGCTCTATTGGTTCCCGAGTTATGCGTCGGCTTCTTGGAAATTTTCGACATTCGACCTGGAAATCGGCGAAATTTTGCCTTCAATGACCTCTGGTGACCTGACCTTTGACCTGACCAAAAAATTGACCGAAGTGATTTCGTCATTATTTTTGACGCTCTTTCGAACGCCGCCTTCCGCGTATCGCTACGTGGCCCAGGAGCCGAGTTACAAGGGGGGGGGGTGTTCAAACACCCCCCCCCCCCCAGCAGGGCGTGGAAATCCAGGACCCCCAGCCGGGCGCGGGTTAATGCGTTGTCTCCTCAGTGAGCAAATCGTACACACATGATGGCTAATTGAGGAGAGCACTAACTGACTGACTGTCAAAGTGATGCTGTTCGTACGGGATGATGTGTCACCTACATTATGTGTCACCTGACTGAATGTGTCAGCTGTCACCTGACCTAATGTGTCACCTGTTACCTGACCTAATATGTCAACTCTTAGGTGTTGTCTCTTTAGCTTGCCACACGCCGGGTCTAGATGACCTATCTAAGGGCAGCCCAAAGTGTCGATGAGGTGGCAGTCCCGTGGTCACAGGCCGGGAGAGACTCCGAGCATGGGGACATCATGTCCGCAGCAGACACTCAACTCGAACAAGGCGTCGGACTCATAAGTCAGCCTATACCGAGAGGAGCTACATGACACATCTGACACTACTTTTCGTCAAAACACCGCCACCGAATCAGACGAGCTAGTCCTCAGGACGAAGTGCTGCCATCTGGCTCAGAGTCAGATGGCAGTTGAGCTGAGTTGGTGCTCAAAACATGGCGAGCAAAATAGGATCAGCAGAAACCGCCGTCCGTCCGCTGTCACATCAGATTGCTGAAGGAAGTTAGGCAGGCAGTGTGGTATCCGCTGTAAAGACAAAGTTTTACCCCCCCCCCCCTTTTTAAGGGTGCCTAGGTCATTGGGCCATGTAAGCAAGTGCTGTCGTGCTGATAGTTCAGCCAATGAAAGAGGCCGGATGCTAACTTACGATGCTGTGTACCGGTATTTTCTGCAGGTGGTAACAGCAGTGAGGGATCAGCAGTCCGCTCCATCAATGAATAACTGCTTAGGTATACCTGTACTGTATGCAGTGGTGCGAATGGGAATGTGTGAAATGAATATGTACTACGATACAATGTTACGCAGGAAATATTCAATGTTGAATGAATGCATCGTATCTTGTGCATCGACAAGATGTTGGCACATGTAATTAGGTATCTAATGATCTATATGTTTTGTGGACTTGATTTCCTTCTGTCCAGTGCATGTACGGTGTCGTTGTGTTTCTTTACATTTTCCGTCTGGCTGGTGAGAAGGTGTGGTCAAAAAAGATCACCAAAGTCAAAAGTGAACAATGTGCTTATAGGAGAGGCGTTGTGAATGATTATGTAAGCTGCCTGGTTTAGCATTGTGTAGTACAAGAGTGAAACGGAAAGTCGATTGGTGCTATCGTAATGGAACATGCAAATAATAAAAACAAAGACTTTGTCTAAGCATCCACAGATATGAGATTTGAGAATGGACTAGAGATTGCAATCCCGGAACGTTTTGCCAATCCCGGGATCTCGAAAGTTTCTATTTCGGGATCCCGGGATCCCGGGATCCCGGTCTTGTCACTGAAGGTCGTAAGAATGATTTCCTACTGACATGTTTTGCGTCTTTTAGCTTACCACAAAGAGTCAACCAAAAGCCATCCTTAGACCATGTCATTTGCATTAAAAACGATTGAATTTGCGAAGGAAACGTTTCGATTTGATTAGCATGTATTCTCAATTGGCCTTTATAAAACTGTGCATCGACCAATGCGTTTAATATCTCGTCATTAACCCTCGCCGGACCTATTGGTTTTCTACATACGCGCCGGCCGAGGGGGGGGGGGGCGGGTACGACCCCCCCTCGCCGTTTCGCCCCTGGTGGAGCTAGCGCGTCGCGGAAAAAACGAGCGTGTGCGCCGTTACGAGACGCAGAGATTGGTACCCGATTTTAAGGTCCTAGGTCAACCGGTGACCTCTGAGGTCAGGTCAAGTGCCCCAAGGTACGGTTCAGTTTTTGGTGAATAACTTCGCAAAAAACGGCCGCAGAGCGCCGATTTTTGCAGCATCGTGTTCGTCTCGCTCAGGCGCGTCGAATGATATACTTTTTGTCCGAGTCAGGTCAACTTGGGGTGTTGACCTCAGGTCAAGGTCAGGTCAGCATCCCCAGGTCACGAAGTTGGTCGAAAGGGGTCATGTTGCATATCATTCGATTCGGCAGGTCTTCCTGAGTCCATTGGTGGCTTTCCCGACTCGCTAGCTCAATTTGATCAAGAGTTATTGACGAAAAACTAATATGACCTTGATGACGTCATAAATGACGTCACGCAAGGTCAACATTGCAAAAGTGACGCATCTAACCTTGAAAGGAGTGCATCAAATCACGATTCTGTGTGCTTGAGATAGTTGGAGATCGTTCCCGTCGCCAGAATAGCAGTTTTCATTTTTCCCCATTGACTTATAATGGTGAGTTCACGAAAATGACCTGACCTCATATGACCTTTAGGAAAAATCCGAGATATACAAGTTGTGGGACTCATAATGGATACTAGATCCTGCAAGTTTCATTTCCCTGTGACATCTCCTCTGGCAGTGAGGGCGTTGCGAAGTTGCGACATCTGAAGACCGTGCAGAGGTTCACCTATGACGTCATAGGTCAGTGACCTGACCTGACCCAAAAATGCGGCTGGTGTCAAAAGATGCGGCTTGGATCAAAGGTCAGGTATGCCAAGTTTCAGCTCTCTATCGCCAGCGTGTTCGGAGCTATCGCGAAAAAACCCTATGGAGGGGGGCGGCACCCGCCCCCCCCCCCTCGGCCGGCGAGGGTTAAGACGGGTTCCAGCACATCCACGCCTCACTCACTATTCGTCTACGCTACTCGTAGTTAGCGCGACAGTTTGCCATTGCTGTCTATTTTACTTGCTGTCTTTTTTTTAAACTCGCGACCAGTGTACGCCAAATTTGGCAGCTCCCTATTTCACAATGTTTTTAAGACGTCGACTTCACCGCCTTCCGGTTCCGCTTTCATCACTAATGTTTTTCAGACTTTGCTCTTATGTCACTTTGAGAGCAGAGCCACTGACTGGGAGAGCTCCACTCTACCGTCTTCAACGTTTGAATCAATGAGCTTTGCCGTCACTAGCGTGACATCTGTGACATTTTTCTGCGACACGTGCTCAAAGACTGTCTTGATGACCTCTTTTGTTTCGGCCACGGACGGACAAGTCAGAATCGCTGAACGATCCGTGATCCTGATAAAGATGTTGCAGCACTGATGCTGCATTTTTTGGCGTTCGGGACCCTTTTTCGTACACATTAAGCGGCTTATCCGCTGTGGGTGATACCCGGGAGCTACCAACACGGTCGATTGTGGACGGCCGATACGGGGTGCCAGCTAAATAGTTTCTCTGCTTTATGTCACGCAGCACCATGAACAGTGTAAACAAGATTCATGCAGCGGCTGCATTCTTTTTATCGTGAAAAACTGATTTTTTCGGGATCCCGGGATTGGCGGAATTTCGGGATCGGGATCGGGATTAAACTCCCGCCGGGATCCCGGGATCCCGATCCCGGGATTGCAATCTCTAGAATGGACTAAGTATGCCGGGTGGGCCGACAGGTGGCGCTGAAGAAAAACTTCAGCAGAAAAAAAAAACGAGAAACTGACCATAGCTTTGGAACCTAAAGATAAACCTATGTAAAAAATAGCTTCATACAAAATATGTGTTGGTAAGATGCCATAAAACTGCGTACGCATTTTTATGGCATTCCTAGGATGACGTTTTGAGTTTTTGTCATGGTATTTCATGTGTCTCATGGCATGATATGTCATATCAAGGCTGTAGATTATAGAACTCCAGGTAAGGACACCAGCCGTTTGACCTTGAACGCCGCCGGCCGGCCGATGACGTAATTGGAGGCAAGCCAGCTCGGCGGACACATAGGCGAATGCATAACGGAGGGGCGTTGGAACGCTGCGGGAGCGGGGGAGATATTTTAATGTGGTTGCATACCACCATTGTTAGGTTGATTGATCTACAGACTGCATTCTTTTAAACCTCGATGCATCCTAGGCCTGGATGGTGCGTACATTCGTAGAACGATCACCCCGTCCGACGTCCGTGGTCGAAGCTGTCTATGTATCTAAAGGCACTAAAACGGGTGCAATAACGGCGACCTGATCCCGTCTCTGGCGAATCTAGAGGGGTCGTAAGGACCCAGGCCGAATCTGACCGTCTATTTTTAGGGAAACGGGGTGGGTGAATTGACAACCGATGGTTTAATAGATGAGAAAGGATCCCGTCGTCGATTGTTGTTTGACAGACAACACATGTTGTACTGGGCGTATAACCATCAGAGGTAATGCCTGAACGTAGGCAAGCATAATTGGTCTGTCATATTGATTAGGATTATAAAATCGTAATAGAGATCATTAAATATGATCTCTACATTTCGGGAATTCACTTATTACTAATTCACAGAGGCCCATAGGGGCTCCGCCGGAGCTGTTGTTTTACCATCGGTCCCAGGCAACTCCAGGGAGCTGCATGGTACCCGGCGGCCAAAGCGCCCACCTCGTCGACTCGCAGGTTCTGTGGGATTCCGTGATGCTTCAGTGCTTCACCCACAGAAGCACGGGTATAGCAGTTGGATGTCGGGTCAGGTGTCTGTCAACCTCTTCATTGTAGGCACAACGTATACAGCGTCTGATCCCGCCGAAGCTCGGTATCGACCGTGGCTTATTCACAACTGGCGGACTCAGGAAGCGGTCTTGGACACTGCGGGGGCTTACCCCAAAAAGGTTTTTTCCGAATTAATCTAAAAAAAACTCGGATTTCGATTTCTTGCGCACTGCTGTGTAGTGTGATTAGCCAACATTTCCTCAGAAAAGTTGTTAAGTTTTCTTTTATTCTCGAAAAGCGATTTCGGGCGCTGCCCCGGTTGTGGGGGAAGACATTTGCCATAAACGCCTTCCCCTGGATCTGCCAGTGGGTTGCCCTACCCCGAGCTTGACTAAAAACGTCTTCAAACCCCACCAGAAAACGACGGTAAGGTGAATTTAAATCCATTAACTCATCTCTGTCTGCCCGCCTAAATATACTACACATGGTACGGCACCCGGTCCTGTCGGAGCTTTGAGCCGATCGTGACATTTTCGGCTTTCCCCATCCCAAGCTCGATTAGAAACGTTCTCCTTCCCCACCCGATTGCTGATGTCAATTCAAATTCAATACCTCATCTCTGTCTGCCCGCCAATAACCCATTCATTGCACACCGTTCAGCGCCCGGCCCCGCCAGAAGTATCCTAGCGCGCTGAGCAGTTGCCTCCAGCCGCGTCATCGCGAGGCCCCGCGCGGCCCATAACTGAATACATTGCGCGAATAGCCGTGTCGCCCCCCTGTGTCATATATCATGTAGGTAAAATATGCAACGTGAGCACAAAATACACGTTTTCGTTAAGCATAGGCGGATTCAGGCATGCTAAGACGGGGGGCAGTACATTGAGATTAGGTACCCTTTCTCAGGTACCTGGGTCCGCCTATTCCAATATTTTCATTGTAGAATGACGTCACATAGTCTATAGGTGCATACATATGACCGGTGGTGCCACTGGTCACCAGTATAACACGCGCAGTGGAAGGGGGGGGGGGCGGATTTCGCCCACCCCTCCTGTTTTTCGCCAATAACTCGCGCCGCAAGCATAATATCAATGTGAAATTTCGGCTACCTGTCCAGAATTGAATTGCAGATCTTCTCGCGCAAGAAGTAAGAAAATCGGTTCACAACTTTTCTAGTAATAGCGGTGTAAAGTCAAACATCCTGCCGCCGCGGCGGCGCGGCGGCCGGCGCTAGCCGTTACGCGCCGCCTGAATTGTAGACTGTGCCGGGGCGGGACGGTTCAGTCTTTACATCGCGCTCCTTACCGCTGATTATATTAGATTCGCGTCAAATTCGGTGAGAAGACTGAGAAATGTACAGGCAATCATATGGTCAAAGAATTTTGAAAATCAGCCGGTAACAAATTGAGTTATGAGTGTGTAAACACAAAATTGTGATTGCCGCGTTTCCCGCGTCGGCCGATGCCGCTTCAGCCGGCGACATCTTACCCTTAGCAGGCTTCTAACTGCCATATTTATTGTTGGATTATCTAGAAATTCACCATAATACTCACAAATGTTTGCTCTTTCGTATAGTGAAAGATTTAAAAAAAATCGGCCGGTAACTTTTTGAGGTATCGGCGTGTAAACGCAAAAAAGTCCCTAATATGGCAGATTTGACCACATTTGACCTCATTTGACCTTGAAGATATTGGCCTAGGGTCATGAAATTCACACACAACAGAGGTCCCCATGGCCCCCACCTACCCTCCAAATTTCGACTTTCTAGCTCCAGTGGGAGCTGAGATCTTAGGGGGGGGGCGACATCCGCCCCCCTTCCACTGGGCGTAGTACTCGCAACCCTTCCACTGCGCGTGATAAACCTAAGTAAGTCGCTGCTTAGCGGCAAATGTCGAAACAGTCAAAGCTAGTGGCTAAAACTACCCCTGAGAAACTCGTCCTGGAGACGCCTCTGCGCAAGCTAGAAACTCAAAAATTTGACACAATGTGGCCAATGAATGGCAAGGAAAAGTCACTAAATTTAAAGTCCCTAGCTAGAGTGGTTTTCCGTCGAGAGCAAAAAAAAAAACTACAGGTGGGGGCCGATCCCCCCCCTCCAGTAATAGGATTAAAACAAATAAGGCTTAATTCTTTTTAAAAAATTCATTGAAAACTACGATCTCGAAAATTTTCATCACTACCGTCAGCGAGAGCGGCACCTGCGACCTCATGACTTTCCCGATTCATGGTCACGCGAAGTCGCCCGCAGGAAGACCGTTTTTCCCTCCGGTGTCAGCAAGAAGGCTCTCTTGTCGAGCGGCATCGGTGGCTTGGGCGTGTTCGGGCCGGGCTCCAAGCGCGTCTCGCGCAGCATCGCAGCCAGCGCCACCTTGGCCTCGAACAGGGCGAACCTCATGGCGACGCAGTTGCACGGCCCGCTGCCGAACGGGATGTAAGCGCACGGGTGGCGCTTCTCCTTCTCCTCCGGCAGGAAACGGTCCGGGTCGAAGCGCATCGGGTCCGGGTAGTGGTCCGGGTCACGATGTAGAGTGAAGATCGGCATCTGCACCACGGTTCCCTTGGGGATGGTGACGTTCGTTTCCGGCAGCGTGTACTCCTTGCTGGAAAGACGCTCGATGCGCGCAGCTGGCGGATAGAGGCGCAGGGTCTCCGAGATGGCTCGGTCAAGCTGTTGCATCTCTCCGAGTGCCTCGTAGGTCAGCTGACCTTCGTGGCGTTCTAGGACCTCGTCGATCTCGGCATGGATGCCTTCCTGCACCTTAGGGTTAGTAGCAAGGCAGTAGGCAGCAAACATCAGCAGCGTAGCCGTCGTGTCGTAGCCGACGATGAAGAGCAACACTGATTGGGCAATGATGCTGGAGTCGGTCAGAACTCGCTTGCCGTTCTTGTCTTTAGTGTCCAAAAGGAGCTGGAGGAAGTCTTTGCGCTGGTTGCTTGTTTGACGCTCATTGATCGTGCGTTTTATGACACTTGAGAAGAACCGGTTAACAGGCTTCAGAGGGTCTGGCAGAATCTTCTGCACGGCGTTACCCAGCAGTACCAGCAAGATAAGTCTCACCGCAGCGAATCCCGTTGGTTCCTCGAACAGCTTCGCGGCATTATTTGCGAACTCTGTGTTCGGATCTTTAAATGAGTTGCAGTTGACACCGAACGCACAGGAGGCGATGTTGTCCATGGTGAAACGACCGAAGCAGTCTTTCAATTCGATCTCTCCTCCCGTTCGCTTCATTTCCGCCTTCACATACCGGGTGTTCATTAATGAATGGAATAAAGTTGCTACGTCACGTGATAACAATAAATCATGCACGCGCATTTTTTGCCTTGTAAATATGAAGCATTGGCTTTATCATTTTTTGATACATGATAACTTTAATCACGGTGTCATCCAAACGCTTGTGAATGGCTCTGGTTTCGAAGAGCCCAAATCGGCAATTCAAGACAAACTCGCCGTTCAGTTATGAACAAGCGGGTTGGGTTGTGGAGCAGTGTGCCGGGTTGGAAAGTCTTAACCCGGCACCGCCTGGGCTATTTCCGTACCCACATCAGCCTGGGGGGGGTCGGATCCGACCCCCCCTGTTATCTCGAGAACCAATGGTCGTATCGAGCCCCGCGAGGCGGCGTTCGAAAGGTCTCTACGAGACCTTCCCAAAGCACTCTTAAGATTTTAAGATTGAGGTCAGCTTTCGGGTCAAGGTCAGGTCAAAGGTCAAATTCAGGGGTTTTGCATGATTAGGCTTACGGACAGCGGAATCGATAGCTGCTGCTCGAAACTCACCACAAATGACCTCAAAGACCTATTGAAGGCACCATGTGCGTATAGGGGTCATACTAAGTACGGGTCAAGGTCAGGTCAGGTCACGAAAGGTCACGGTTTTCACTTTCTGCTACATGGGCGTGCGACACATGTTTTATGGCTTATTTTTCACGCCAAATCCGATGGTAATGGTTATATGTGACCCCAAGTCACTGTGCTGGTGATAAGTGTGCATTGAAAGCATAAAAAATCGTTAATTCCATACATAACTAAACGAGGGCTAAGAAAAAAAGTCAATTTTTCAACTTTTTATTTTTGACATCAAAATGCACTTTTCTAGACGAGCTTTGTCCCAGGAATCTAGTGGTGCCATTTGTTTTCACATGCGATGTTCAGAAATGCCTCTAATTCGCGAAAATGCTTATGACGTCACCATGCCCTATGCATGTTGGAGATATTCTTTACAATTTGGGGGTCAAAAATCAAGATAGAAAGTTGAAATTTGGGACATCTAATGTTCTAATAGAGCTCTATAACATATATTCCGGTTTTTTGGAAATACTCAAAATTTTGGATTTTATTAGCTGTTTTCCAAAAAATACAGTTTTTTGAATTTTTAGGGGTGAAAAACGCATTTTATGGAAAATCCGAGATAGCCATGTTAAAGAACTCGTTGAGCTGCGTCTTTTCATGTCCTTAATTTGCAATTTGCTTAAAACCTCGATTTTTGGCGATTTTTTAAACATTTACCATTTTTTGACTGAAAACGCCATGTAGTTACATCACTAAAATCGATATATCTCAAAAATTTTTGATTTTTTTTTCTTAAAAATTGCACAGGAGACGTCAAATTGATGGGGGACAAGGTATGCGAAGTTTCAAGTTGATAGCGCAAGCGGTTCATGAGTTATTCAAGAAAAACGGAGGGGGGGTCGGATCCGACCCCCCCCCCCCCCAGGCGGTCGCGGGTTAACGTGGTTAGGCGGGCTTTCCGCCTTAAAGGGACCCTCCCACCTTCAAAAAAGTTAATGAATCGGCATGAAAGTGATGTCGCTCGGTTCAGATAGAGCAAAAACGAATATCTACCAAATTTCATCGAAAAGTATTCACCGGTTTTCAAGATATTAGACCTTTACTTTTGTTTACTTTTTTGGGATCTCCGCTGTTTCTAGCGACTTTATTTTAGAAGTGCGGCGTTTGCGGCAGATGTTGCGCGCAAATAGCATATACCACCGCGTGCTACAAAACGTTTTAGTCAAACACTTAAAAATCGTTAGATATCAGCGCTGACGTCACACATTCAGAGGGGTATTCCTAAGCCTTAGCCCCTCTGAATCAAAATGCTGCAATTTTGAAATTCAATATTTCCGACTTAAGGCATTTCTCGATGTTGTGAGTGCCGAAACCGGTAATTGTGAGCCAGGGACCCCATTTTGGCTATCTCAACTCAAATCTAATGTTAAGGTTGGAGGGTCCCTTTAAAGGGACTATCCCACCTTCTAAAATGTTGTTAAAACCAGTTAAATTGTGCCCGACTTTATAGATTGGATGACCAGGAACACCATTCTGGCATTTATTTTTCATTAAACATCTTAGGCTTCCCATATTCCAAACACAAACTTTCAAATATGTGACGTCACAGCCCAAAATTACCTCCTTCCCCAGGCCACATTACTGTCATAAAGCTGATTCTTTTTACTCTGTAGGCACCACAACAAAGTTCAGACCAAGTTTTAAGCGATTTTTCAACGAACAAACCCATTTAAATCAGAATGACTAAACGAGGTGACGTCACACTAACGGTCGCTCCATGTTGAAGATAGGGCCTTGTACAAGGCCCATTTTCAAATGAAGGGAACGAATTTCTTCAACACCAAGAGGCCGCGGGGGTTGCAACCTAGATAGATAGTGGTTTCTGAACCTCGCCGCAAACTTGGCTATCTCAACTCAAACCCCATGTTAAAGGTGGGATAGTCCCTTTAAGTTCTCTCCGAGAAAACCAGCAGCAATACCACATCTGAATGCTTTTCAGCGTTTGGTGGAAAGATTTAGGATGGCTGCAGCGACACGGCCATGTGTGCGCTCTGGGCACCAGCCGATGATCCCTGGTGAAATGGAACAGGCCAAGGATTTCTTCCGGAAAAATGCCACAGCTCATGCTCGGCTGGCGTACGAAGAGCTTAAATGTCCATTGGAAAGGTATTGAAGATCCTAATTCTGTCATGGCCTTCCTCGATCGAAGTTCAACGAACTCGCGCGGAAGTGCCATCTGCACTGGCCCGCATACAGTCCCGACCTGTCCTGCCTGGATTTCTCGTTCTGGACCCAAGCTTTGGATCGCGTGATGGAATCGGAGCCGGAGAAACAATCAAAGAACTGAAGAAGGTCGTGGAGGACTTCGCCAGAACATAAGCAAGGAGCAGCTGAGGAAGATGGTCCGGCACACTCAGCGTCGGGCAGAACCGTGCGTGGCCGAGCGGCGAGCGAAGGTGTTACTTTGAGCACGTCCTGTAGGAGACACAAGTGGCAAGCGGTGATCGCGATGATGTCATCATAAATGATAAGCCCTCCTGAAAATGCATTGTGTGATTTGATAACGTGAGATGAATATATATCTTTCTGGTGCCTACCTACTTTATTCCATTCATTAATGAACACCCGGTAGTTGTTGAGGTTGAAGGCGTTATCCAGACACATCTGGTGCATTGCACGAAGCTTGCTTGAAGAGAATGTGGGGGATATCACTGATCTTGTGTCCTTCCACGCTTTTCCGTTCAAAACCTGTATCATCTCCAAGAAGTCCTCGCTAATGACAAAGTCTCGCCGGTCGGTGAAACTCTCAAAGTCCTTGACGGTGATGGCACGAATGAGGTCGAGGTCTCCGACGTACAGAACTGGACGCGCCATCTCAATGTACATAACCACAAAACTTCTTTCCGCCCTGTGTGTTGTAGATCCACTCACCAAATCCGGCCAAGTCCGTCATTGGCCGCCCGAACTCGTTGCCGTAGGGGAACGTTGGGGTAGGACCCGGCACTCCACGAGCCTTCCAGAACCCGTAGTCCTTCGTCATCAAGTAGTAGATGGTGGCCATGGTGCAGGCCAGCACCGCCAGCGGCAGCGGAGTGAACAACCACTTCAGGACAGCTCCCAGTCCCAGCACTCCGAGCAGCGTGCCGATCATGGCGAGGTCCACCAAAAGGGCTCCAGAAAGCAGAGGAAGAAGGCGAACTCAGAGAGATGCGCATTGTCCGCCGTCCACAGCACCAATGCGGAGCTGCTGCCGGCGCCCGTCGAGTCCCGCGCCCACCGAGCCCCGCGTCCGGGCGCCAAGGTCATGCGCTGATTGAATCAACATGCGACTGAGGGGCGGCTGCCTTGCTCAGATGCGGACCCGATGAAACCCACTGGAAGCGGCCATGGGACAGGACCGACCATGGCAAAAGGAATAACATGACACAGCGTGAAAATCTGATGGCATACATACATACATACTAGAGGTGGCAAAAGGTGAAAATTGTGGGAACCAGACTCGAACCAGACCCGACTGGGTATTTCTGGAACCAGTCGGACCCAGTCCAAGCTGGAATCGGAACCAGTTGGACCCGTCTCCCAAAAGTCAATTAATGCAAACTATTCGTAGGTAGCATTAATTACATCATGTAAAATAGCCTTTTTCGCACTGCAAATACTCATGAGGTACAGTGTGCAAAGAAACATACATACATGAGCAAATGTTTTCTTTCCATTCACATCATATTTTGCAATCATTTGTGTATGTATGGTAGGACCCGGTTGGACCCGTCAGAAAATTTCCAGGAACCGGTCTGGACCCATATGGGTCCAGACTGGTTCTTTGGACCGGGTCCTCGGGTCCACATTTTGCCACCTCTAATACATACACATACACATTTATTTTCAACATTACAAATGAGCAAAACATACACAAAAATATTATAAGATGGCGTTAACCTGCGCCCTGCTGGTGGCCTGAACTTTCCGCCGAGTGCCTAATTACGTCTTGCAACTTTCGGAAAGCTCGGTCTTCTAGGTACTGTGGCCCTCGCTCTGACACCGTAGTTAGGTTCTATTTCTAAAAAAAAAGTTAATTGAGGTCGGGTCATCCAAAGTGACCTGGTGACTTGACCTTAAAAGGTTGGAGGCTGAAACTTGCACAAAATGTATGAGGTCGATGAGGAAATAAGCATACCGAAATTCGCAGCACTAATCGCCGCGCTTTTTCCGCCATTTGCGAAAAATATGAGGGAGCGGATAACCAACCTCCGTCAGTGCGCGGCGTACAAATGAAGCAAAAGTTTCGCTCCTTCCCTTTTGAAAGAAAAGTGTTGAAATGTCTGAATAAGAATAATGTGGGCGCATATCCGTTATTCACCCGCGACCCGTTGGGGGAAGGGGGCAAAGGGCCCTCCTGTGGTTTTTCGCAGATAACTCAGAAACGGCTGCGAATTTCGACTTGCAACTTTCAGTACCTCTCCAGACATAAATTGTAAACAACTGAAAAAATTAGGTCCCAGATCACGAGCTATAGAGGTCAAGCTTAGGTTATGTTCGGCGATTTTTCGTCAAAAAAGTTGTTCACGGAGAAAAATCGCAGAAAATCAGAGTTTCAATTAAGCGACTCAAAAAATGAACCGTAGATATAAAAAGCATGGTTAACAAAATGTCTATCTCGAAATTTCTAGAATGTAAAAAATGTCTAGATGCAAGGATTTTCTAATTCAAAATCTAGATTTCTTGGATTCTTTTCGAAAATTGGGGTCAGGCAGCCTTTGGGGTCAGTTTAGATTATGTTCCGGTGAAGGTGAGGTCAAGGTCAGGTCAAGGCCAGGTCAAATAAGGCAAATTTCAAAGTTGATATTTTTGCATAAAATGGGTATCCATTCGATGCAGCTCGTCACGGGGAGTCCAATGGTGGTATTTGTTTTGCCCTACGTGGTCTAGAATTGCAAAAATTGAGTTTGGAAATTTGACGTCATCATTTTTGAACAGTTTTTTCGCTATACCTTGGCCAAAAAAGGAGATATCGATCTTAAATTTGGTATGTAGATAGAAGAAGGTAGATACTATCACATATATTCCGTTTTTTTCGAAACACAAAAAACTTTTTGGATTTTTGGCTATTATATCCAAAAAATTGCATTTTTGATTTTTTTGGGTCAAAACTAAAAACTTTCGAAAATCCGAGATGATAGTTTTGTAGACCTGTCCATTCTACATACACCTATTATGTCTTGATCATTTTTCTGTATCTTCAAAGCTGTAGGCCTGACAGCTCTTCTCGCTAAGGCCTTTTTTCGGTCGAAAATGGCAGAACATGACGTCATTCTGACGTCATTTGTGGCCAACCTATCATAGCCTCTGGAAAATTTTTTGGTAACAATGTGTAAAATTGATGGATGCCCGGAGGGGTTCTGAAAGTTTGGTGGCGATATCTCCAGCCGTTTAGGAGATATCGACGGAAAAGGACAGGAGGGGGCCGTTTCGGCCCTCCCCTACGGGGCGCGGGTTAACCCTATTAGTGGCAGGGGGGGGTTGTTTTTGTCCACCCCTCAGGTTTTTCGGGAATATCTCCGAAACCGCTGAAGCTCAGATGCTGAAATTTTCTGACTTTTCCTAAAACTAAATTGGGCACATTCCCTGAAAATTTCAAGTTCATAACTTTACCAGGGGCGGCTCCAGAGCACTGGGAATTGGGGGGTCCTATTCGTGAAGCGAGTCATTTGGGCGAAGATCACGATGCTGCACCAGTTTTACGAACAGTGAATGAAAGGTATCATGTGATAACATATACAAAGTTATTGTGCATCCTCTTTTGACACGTTTTTGCTGTAATAGGCGGATCCAGGCGTCCAAAAAGGGGGTTATTTTTTACCTCCCAACATAGGTGCCCTGACACCGCCTATGCATGACCAATACAATTTTAGTCGTTCTCTCATAAGAAAATTGTAACATAACAAGACCATTGCCACCCTTTTTAGAAACAGTACCAACAAAAACCTTATTTACTATACTTTTTGTGTACCCCCAATCTCAATGATCTGTATCCGCCTATGATTTTTGAAAATGCATATTTTTAGGATCCATGTGAATTCCTGGTTCATTCTCTATCGATCGGCAAAAGTTACGTTAAGATTGGTTCAGAAACCTGGCCGTGATAAACAGTCTAAAATGTATCTGCAATTTGCCCGTTTTTACCCCCCTCTACCCCCCTATTGACATTTTTTAATTTTATTTTTTTTTTAGAAATGTAGATCTCGTTGAGCGAAATCGAATACCGTTTGAATTTTGAAAATCGGCCCGTTAGATCTCGAGATATCAAGGGGGGGTCGTAAACAGCCCCCCCCCCCCTGCCACTAATAGGGGGTAGCCAGGAGCCTGCCACTAATAGGGTTAAGCCATGCTGTTGGACAAGGCTTTTCAAACACTCATATAAACGAGGTCTATTATGTAGATTGGTAGACTAGGAAGCTAATGGAATCGGGAACATTTTCGGATCGGAGCCAATGATATTGGAGTGCTGCGATATCGGCTTGCCCGCCCCGCGTATGGGGGGGGGGGGGGGCGAAACGGCCCCACTGTCCTTTTCCGTCGATATCTTCTAAACCGCGGGAGATATCACCCCAGCAAACTTTCAGGATCTCTCCGGGCATCAGTTTTACACGTTGTGATTTTATTTTACAATTTTGCATTTTTTACAAAAAAAAAATTCCAGAGGCTATGATAGGTATTAGGTTGGCCACAAATGACGTCAGAATGACGTCATATTCTGCCATTTTCGACCAAAAAAAGACTTTCGCGAGAAGAGCTGTCAGGCTTACAGCTTTGAAGATACAGAACAATAATCGAGACATAAAAGGTGTAGAGTTGACACTTGACAGGGCTACAAAATTGCTATCTCGGATCTTTAAAATTTTTAAGTTTCGACCCTAAAAATAAAAAATTATATATTACCCAAAAAATCTTTTTTTTTTATTTTCGAAAAAAGGAATATATGTGATAGTACCTACCATCGTCTATCTACATATCAAATTTCAGAGGGATATCTCGTTTTTTGGCCAAGTTATAGCGAAAAAAAACTTCAAAAATGATGACGTCAAATTTTCAAACTCAAATTTTGGCAATTCTAGACCACGTAGGGCAAAACAAAGACCATAATTAGACTCCCCGTGTAGAGCTGCATCGAATCGACTCCCATTTTATGCGAAAATATCAACTTTGAAATTTGACCTAATTTGACCTGACCTTGACCTGACCTTCACCAAAACGTGACCTAAACTGGCCCCAAAGGCTGCCTGACCCACATAATCGCCTTTGTCATGTAAAATAGACCATTAAACATATATCACACGACACTTTCATATTGTGACCCCCTGTGACCTGACCTCTGTGACCTGACCTGGTATCAGTGACCTCAGATAGCAAAGTATGTGTTTGAAGAACAAAGTACCATCGATGGTTTTCAATAACTTACCAATTTACTCGATTTCACAACCCATTTCTTGAAATGTCTGTGAACGGTGAATCTCCGACCTTTGACCTGACCTGTGACGTTTGACCTAGGTCAATGAAATTTGGTCTTACGGTAGTTCCCCGATGGGGCTATCGAACACCGTTTAAATTTTGAAAATCGGCCCGTAAATTTCCGAGATCTTAGGGGGGGGCGAAACGCCCCCCCCCCCCCCTACGGGTGGTAGGGTCCGCCGATAGCCCTACGGGGCGCGGGCGATAGCTCTACGGGGCGCGGGCTAGCAGGCGAGCTGTTGCTACCTCTTATTCTGCTACTAGGAGCTATCGGTTGCCACGACATGCAATTTATGTCCAGACTGCCGTACATCACCGCAGTGTGTACCCGGGTGATGTCACGGATATCCTGCCCAGTGCCCAGCTGAGCTGACTGCTGATGAAACGTGCATGGCGTCTGACGACACACTCACGCACACGCGCCTACAGTTGTGTGACCAGCCACTGACACACAGACCGACATAGGCAGTACCCGCACTCAGCTTCAGGCAGAGGATCATTTCAACCCATTCCAGGAGAGAGACCTGTGGGCACTGGGCAGTGTCTGCGTGCTCTCAGTACTCAATAGTGTAACGTCTGCAAAGACCCGGACCCGGCCCTCTGGTGGCGTTGCCCGCCACAGCCCAAATACGGGCCGTGACATCAGCCGGCGAACACCGCAGTGACGCAGCACTTCTGCCGCGCTCAAGTACATACATTTGTGGATCCACTCA